TAGATTGACCACTCATATTGGCCTATGTTATGAGATTTAGTTTTTGCAGCAGCTTGCATGTCACAGGAAAATAACATTGAAGCAGTTCTGAGACGCTCCCACCAAGACTTGCATTATTTTGGAGCTGGAACACTTAAGAACAGCTTTCAAGGGCCATTTCAATGGTAAATGGCAGTTTAAAAGAAAAACAGCTTGCTAGTTAACCTAGCATAACAGCTACCATCCTTAAAGAAAAAGATTTATACATTAAATGTATTGCCTGTTTTTTGACTTGATATAAGCCTCTTGTACAACAGCATTCATACTGTAAGTAAGGGGGAAGCACTAGAATCAAATATGTTGTACTGCATGAGCTGGCATCGAAACATGCTGAGGAAAGAGCAGAGGGATGGCTTGTTGCGGTGATGCTGCTGTCCCTTCACTGTTTTGTCTCAGGCAGAGGGCAAGAAGGTGACCAGGCTGTATTTATTATTTATCTGCCATAAAGTAAAGTCATGTCACCTCCTTTCTCTGCTGTGTGTATCCTCTGGAAGACAAAACCACATTCATATGTATTTTTTAAAAATAAATGTAACTGCCTGGAGTACAGCTTTACATTTAGAAAAGAGATTAGAAGAGTCTTAATTGGTTTTACTTCATTAATTCTGTGTTTGCCCATATATGTAGATAATAGAAAAGCATACCATTGTATTATTACTGCTAATGCTTATGTACATACAAAATGTTTATCACACATTGGTAGAGGTCAAATGCAACTAATTATATTCAGAGGAAGATTAAAATGTATGATGTATTAGTTTCTCAACTTCTCTATCCCATAGTGAAATGTTTTATAATTAATAGCCTAAATCATTTGCCTAAGGCTGTTTGTTAAAAAATTTCTGGAAATGAGCAGTCATCAGTGCAGCAACATTAAAGCGTTTAATAAGAAAGATAAACAAGCAATTAATTTTGATTTACTTTGTTTGTCACTTTGTTTCTGTGTGACTGCTGCAGTGAATACCATTTTTAATAGTTTCCCATTTAAGCAGTTGTGAGAGCTGTGTGTGTCCCTAGGCATTGACTAATAAGTGCTTTATAGTAAGGTGTGTATTAAAGTGGAGGGCCTGAAGGTCAGTGGAGGCAGGTGAGGCAGAACCTCACCTAGAATTATGGAGGAAAAAGCTGTCTGCTTCAAGTCTGTAGCTGACAGCTTTTTCTCCATTTCAGATAGGCATCTAACAGGTTACACAGCAGGGAAATCCTTCCCGTTGTGTAACTTGTCATGGACTGAGCGCTGCCTGTTAATTACCGGTGGCGCTGCATCCGGCTTTTGACAGCTAAGTTAGGTTACACAGCAGCGGGCTTTCCCACTGCTTGTGTAACCTAACTATTGAAGCCAGAGCTATCACAGCCTCTACTCTTTGTTAGAGGTGTGAGCTCTGTGGATGGCTTGGACCAATAGCAAAGCGCCTTTGGTCCAAGCTGTCCAATCAAAAAAAGGAAAAAAAAACACTGAGGCCATCGATCTCGATGCCTCAGCAGTGACAAGCAAGTCCTTTTTACACTAGCTTGGGGACGGGCTGCGCCCGGTAGGGGCGGTGCTTCATCCGGCAGGGAGCAGGGGTTCGGACGGCAGGGGGTGGGGCAGGACATGCTGGGGAATGCCTCACCCGGAACAATAGGTACTGCACATCGCTCCTGAAGGTGTACAAAGAGAGTAGCCTTCTGCACTAAAATAAATTGGAATTAGACAATTGTAAGCATATGGGAGCAGGGATTCGGCGGGGGGCGGGGCAGGAAATGCTGGGGAATGCCTCACCCGGAACAATAGGCACCTCACATCACTGCTGAAGGTGTACAAAGAGAGTAGCCTTCTGCACTAAAATCAATTGGAATTAGACCAATTGTAAGCATATGGTGTCTTATCTTTCAAGCATTTCATATTGTCGGCACACTAACCTCATTGTTTCATATATCCAGAGATAAACAAATTGAAAGGCTACACCCATTCATCAGATCACCCCACACTCCTGCCATGTCATATAATATTGGTATGAAGTAGTGTTTCTGGGCGGGCAGCATAACCAGTGGTTAACAGACCATGGTACTTTTTAAGCTTCTGAAATACTGAATGGCTGTTTTTTTTTTTTTTTATTAAAGTGATTAAATAATTTTTTGCATCTGAACCAAAAAGTGACATGCCATCAACAAATGCAGTTTCTTAAATAAAACAAGCTTTTCCATAAACATTGTAGTGCATAAAGGGGCCTAAAGAAACAATCAGATGTTTTATCTAACCACTTATAGCCAGATCAGGGAAAGATCAGATGTTTAAAGACCACTTTAGCAGTACATGTTACAACCACTAAACAATTTATTAACCCCTGGTTTTGGGTGGACATTGAGTCAAGGTCTGAGGGTGCCTGTGTATGTCCCATATATTACCCAGTTCTGATGAAAAAACATCTTGGATTTAATGTCTGTGGAAGGATGGGCAGACATGAATGGCATCCACATACAATAGCAATTTGGGGTGTTTGCTGGCACCCAAAGATGAAGTTCAGACATTGCTAATTTTATAATGTTTATTTGTGAGCATTGCATTGACAAATCAATATCAGAATTTTGCTGTAGACATGATATATTAAGTGGTGATCGTTTTATGAGTTATACAACATCTATTTTTCAGCCAGTACACTGGACCAGCACTGCTGTAAGAATGGAGGGACCTGTATGTTAGGCAGCTTCTGCGCTTGCCCTAAGCATTTCTCTGGAAGATATTGTGAGTTGGAATTGAGGAACAAGTACGTGTTTAGCAAGCTAACTATATGTAAACCATTTTATGTTAACTTTTGAAAGGCTGAATTGATCATTGTCTGTTGTATTTTCTCCCATACAGGCATTGTGGCTCTGTATCTCATGGACATTGGCTGCCCAGAAAGTGCGCTCTATGCAGATGCATTTATGGAATTATGTATTGCTTTCCATCTGGGGGCTGTGGTACGTCTAAATATAGAAGTTTGCAATTATAAGCAGCACAAAATGATTGTCTCTTCTTGTTGTAATCCATTCTGTGTAACAAAAGGTCTGTTTACAGTGTAGGCATTTATATACCCATAAAAATAACAAAGTGTACAAATAAGTACACGTTTCTTGGGTAGATGTAGCAATAAGCTGATGGAATTAAATAGAGCCTGAGGCCATCTTCTCTGCTTAACGGAAATGATTGTCTTCGGGTTTTTGTCATTTCAGAAAATCCAACTGATCCAATGTGTGCTTAGAAGGAACATGTTAGTCTTTGATAAGCAACGCTGACATGAAAAAACATACAAGATAGGTTTACAAGAATGAGACTGAAATGATTCCTGACAGCAGCAGTGTCTTGGAGCAGACTGAGTGCTAATCATATTCTTTTGTGAATATACCTATGACATTATTTTCAGCTAAAGGGATACTTCGCATTAAATGAGCTGCTAATGCATTCATAAGAATTATACTTCAGTACTCACTCGGTCTCAAAGGGACTAAGATATTTGAGGCTTATTTTTTACTCTGCTACCCATTCCTCGGTTATTGGCCATTTTAAATGTGGCAGGTGCAAGCCGACTGTCAGGAGATGTCTTTTTCTGAAGGTTGACCAGGCATTTATGTTTGCACTATGAAATACGTAGTAGACAATTCTGGTGCTGTTATGTCAAGGGAGGTGACAGTAATCTGTACCTTGTTGATCTCTTCTGATGCCTGAGCTCAGTTGGTCGTTGACATGAGAATATTATGACTTCTATCCAAAAAACCATTGCATGGAATCATTATTATTTTTAGGTCTCTGCTAGATTTTTCTTAATAATAATGTTGGGTGGGTTTATTTTTATGTCATTACAGAAAGGCATAAAAAGCTAATGTCCACCCAATACCACCTTAATTTCAAAAATGTAAAAGTTCAAATATCCAGTGTGGTTGATAAAGTAGGATTTGGTCACCCATTGGCTTCTGTTTCACAGTAATTTTGGTTATGATATCTCTACTTGAACGCCTCGCTTATCACTTGAACTCCTACAATATCCCAATTGTATAGATCACTTCCTTTTAAAATAAATGTTGATAGAGAATCTCCCCAAATCCATTGCTTGGTTTCCCTGTGGATTGCAAAGCTGGTACTCTGGAAATGAGGGAGATCTTAACTCTAAAACATCTTCATAACCAAAAACACTAATGACTTAGCCTGCTGCCTAATTTTATTATCCAGTTTGGATGTATTTAAAGCTTAACTATGATCACAATTAAAATTTGCAGTGCTGTAAAGCTTGACCCTGTTGCAGACCTGTCACACTAAATAATTTTATAGAAGTTAAATACCAGTTTTCACATGACTTCCTCGGATTGCTCGGACAATAGCCATAGCGGCCCACACCGCTGCTATGGGGCCTGGAGTAGGAGGGGACCCATTAGTGGAGCTGATTAGGAAAACTAAACTGGGAAGTTTACAGTATAGGAGGGCTGAAGTCAGACCTCAGGATCATCTAGTTACAGATCCCCCTCTATGCAGTGAGAAGCCATTACTATCTACCTTGGTGTAGATGTATTGCCCTCTGAACTTCTGCTACAAATTAACATTAACCATGCATGCCTAAACAGGGGCTTAACTAGAAATCACAGGGCTCCATAACCACAGGGCTCCATAATAAAAAAAAACAAAAAAAAAAACAGAAAAAACAAAACAAAGTTTTGCTATGGCGCCCTATGATTTGTAGTTTTGCCCCTGGCAGGGACAATATTTCTGTGCAATCCTTTTTCCTCGTGCAACCTGGGATTGTCAAAGGGGTAGGCATAAAGCAGGCCACAGACCTTACAACCATCGCAAGACTTATGTCTTGCGATGGTTGTAAGGTAATTAAAAATACGTACGATCTGCGCATCTTGGACAGGCAGATCGTACTTGCCATAATCGCAAGCCTGTCCCGCTGAGGGGCGGGCTTCCGATGACCGCAATGCTGAACGGGCAGTGGGTGCTTGCGCACACCGGCCTGTGCGTCATTTATCTTACGAGCATGCCACACATGTTCCTAAGATCAAAGTCGTGCGACCGTACAGTAGAAACGGTCGAACGCCTTCCACACACCTTGCGATAATCGTACGATCGCGGGATTTCCCGCGATTATCGTATGATTATCGCATGGTGTGTGGGTACCTTTAGGGGGTAGAGAACCTTCTTTATTGTTAAGTGCACATGATTTGGTGTTCACGTCCTGTGATTATGCTGGTGCTGTCTTGACGCTCATGCGGTCTTGATGCTGGTGCTGTTTTAGTGCACAGGTGGCCACCGTATGCATACACAGAGGAAGAGACATGACACCATTCATGGGCACTTGTATAAGCTACAGCACTGATGTCAGGAGAACATAAAAATACAGCTAAATTAAAAGCCTCCAATAAAATTTATATTTTAAAGGTTACAAAAGGCAAGAAATTACACTACAGATGTAAGGGCTTTATAACATGTCTGTAGACTTTAAAATGATGGTGCCCTAAGTTCAACTTTAATCTGCAATTTCTCTTTTGTATTAACCAATACTGCATTTAGTGACCTTTTTGAAAGTGTATGTCACTTTTTTTTATAATAGAATGGGAAGGGCTATAACCTTATTTCTGTTATCACTGCTATCTGGGGGTGGGGGTCTGTTGGAGTGATTATCCCTAATTTTTGTCCTGGAGACAATAGATTGCTATTGAAGGAAAATATACAGAGACAGTAGTAAAATGCTGGGTTAAAGCTTTTACTACTTTACTGAAGAAAAGCATTTTAAGGTACTTTTTTTTTTTTTTTTAATGTTACTAGAATCAGCTGTTATCAATAGCCATAATCAGGTATTGCCTGCTTTAACCTAGGTGTAACAGTTTCCACCATTACAGAAAGCTTATGTTGCTCAGCTATCATAATTTACTTTTTTTGGAAAATGAATGGTCATTTAATAAAAAGGAGCAAGCCTTACACTATACTGGTGGTGGGGGAGGGGGGTGGGGTTAAATCATAGCCGTTGAAGATATCTGGTGTTTATTTGAAGAATGGCCATTACAAGATCTTCTTCTTTTTTTCAATAGCAGTTCCCTTCATAATAAAACAGAAATCTTGACTTCAAAATCAACAAAGCCTGTCAAACAATAAAAAAAAAAGGAACAAACATGAAATGGTGGCTACACAGTAAAATTGGCCTGCCTCTGATAGACCTGCTCTGCACTTGAATTTTGCAAGCAATAAAATGTCATTCAGATATGAGTTGTCCTGGATTCCATTTGTCACCTTGCAGATGGGGTTAAGATGGACAGATAAACTAGATTATGTGAGAAAATAGGAGCATATGGAGGCAATCACTGCTGTCATGCATTTTATGCCCTTTTCATAGCAGGAAAATGACAGGGCACTAGTTGTCTTATCAAACGTCCTTTATGACTACAAAGGGAGCTTCAGAAATCAGCTACAGACATTGAACACCTTTCATTCGCATAAAGTGCCCAAATCCCCTGTAAAGACGTAGAGAGAAAAATAGGCTTTTGTCCTGTTATTTGCTCTCTGAGCAAGAAGAATCTATAATTTGCAATTCCATAGGGTTAGCTGCCTTGCGTACACATGAGCAATAAACTGTCTCATTTTGTTCAAATGCTAATAGACATTGCTTATCCTTTTGTATTATAAGCCAATGCTTTCCATTTTCTTTTTCTCTGTAGCATGTTTCCATTAAGTAAACAGACTTCTACTGAACTGTAAAGATATATATA